TCGCTGGTCAGCTACAGGAGGACGTCAAGTGGTACTTCGGCTCCCATTGTGTCTAAAAGCAGTGCTACTAAGAAACAACTGGTGCTCCGCATACAGTTGTAGCAGACGCTCGCCGCTGTCAGTCCGTTCGGAGTTAAGCCTACAATTACTACCCAGCTGAGCTTCTGAAGAGCTCAGAAGCCTTATTGTGCGTTCATGTCCCCTGCAAGTACTAGAATATCTGAACTAGTATCACTGCGTAGTAGCGCGTTCAGCTCGTGATAGAATGTGTCCTTGACAGCATTTGAACTGCAGTCGGTGAGCGCATAAGCGAAAATCACAAACAAACAACGTTTTCTACTACTTCGTGAATCAACCTTAGCTGATGTCGTCAAACGGGCTGCACACAAACGGCTGTTTACCGGAATCCAATCAACCAACAATGGCTCAGCCTTGGAGCTTAGAATGATACCTACACCAGCTGGACCCGCGAGTGCTGCATCGGCGTCTCCGGATGCGTGCAACCAATAACGAGAGGATAAGCCGGGTGCAGTTAATTCAACAACCCCATTAGAGTCATTGATCCTAGTTTTGGACACACAACACACATCAATACCCAGTGCAGCCTGCTGACCTACTTGTCTTAGAGTGCGAAGGTTGAACGTCGCCATGGAAGCGGGACAGCATGGCCTTATAAGGGACTGTTGCCGATAGGTGTCCGGTGCGTGTCGCGAGGTGGCTGTAGATGGTTCTACTCCAGTGGCAATTCGGTTGCTGTCAATTAAGCTGGGAATTATAGAAGGAAGGTTAGTAATGGGGGTCGGGATAGGAGCAAGAGAAACAGGTGGAAAAGAACGAAGGGAGGCGCCAGTAGTAGCATGTTGTCGCTTATCCGCCCTGCTGTATGCAGCAGATAAGGCGACCCTTGATAATCTGCGCAACGACCGATGTAGGACGAAGTTTATGTTGGAAGAAAAAATCATGGTTGTATGTGAGCTGGGAGACTGCCAGGGCGCCCAGACCTAGACAGGAGGAAGATTAGGGCCCTTATCCAAAGCCTTTAGCTCAAAAGCCTGTCCGCAAGACAACGTGGAGGTGGCAATGATTTAGTTTTTAAAAAGTCTAATGCAGCGTACCTACAAACGCTGTGCCGATTCTGTCTACGTTCTCTGCAGGACGCGTCGTCGCTTCGGTAGTGGTCCCGAGTGGCTTCGCTCATGGTACATTAGGACTGCCTGACTCAGGCACTCGCGACCGCATGTGCTACAGCACCACGCGCTCCCTGTTGATGGAGTACAACCCATCGGCGTCTGTCGCTTCTGCAATTAATGCTTCTTCTCTGCATGCACGAGAACTTCTCTTGCACCTCGGCAACAGCCATTGTGATCAGATCGCGCCATGCACGCCGATCAGCCGCTTTCGTTTCCCATGACCTGCAATCAAGATTAGAACGTGAGGCTCACTTTGATAATGTCCTGATAACATAATTTCGGTTTCTCCACATATATATATATAACCATGAAATGTCCCTACTAGCGACCAGGTCGGTGTAGCTCATAATGGATCTTCAGTTTTGTCCCCACAGCCACTGCTTCCCTTCCCGGGCTAGCGCTGCGAACAACTTGAATCCAAAGAATAAGGAGTCATTGCAGTCACGAATTTTCCCCTAATGGAGGCCAAAGGGGGGATGAACGCATACGGTAATACAAATGGATCATGTCGAGAAGGACTTCAGACTTCGTATTACAACAACGCAACGCCCCGGGCAGTTTGCGCATTGCCACCAAAGATTTGAACAACATAGCCTATAGGTAGTGAGCTTGTCTCGGAATCTTGTGGCGCGGGTTCGAGTCTGCGTAAGGGCAGGGCGACCCTCGCAGGATCCTTAGCCAACGTGCGGTGATTGCGGGGCAGCGAAGCGTCGGTAAGCGCCGGTATGTAATACCGGCGTACTGTTGATGCCACTTTTGGCTCTTTAAACGTGCAATTTAGATACAACCGAATACTGACAATCAACAGAGGAAGTGACTGTCTCATTTTCAAACGCACGACGACGAACGGGTTATCAGAACTATCAAGTAGTGTTGCCTATATCTTCATGAAATTTCTAGATTCCCCGACGGAAGGAGATTCCTGCAATACTAGAAAGTATGTAAGCTCCGAGATGGAAAGGTATCTTATCTAAAATCATGAAAAGATTACGCCGGACCATCCATATGCTCTATAGCTGAGTAGTTTCCGTCCAAATGACTGCAAGAACATCGTCAGTTGTAAGTTCCGTTTCCAGCATCGTGCTATGACAGTGAGAATGATCGGAGCTAAGCTAGTCAAAACGAACCAGAATGATCATTTGATTGCAATGTCCCAAGGAGCGGGGGATGGCTGAAGGGTAAAATCAGCTTACAGTTCGTGTGAAGTAGGTAGACAAAGTGGGCACATAGAGCTTGGTTGTAAAGCGCTTATCATGTGAATAGACCATGAGAAGCAAGCAAAATCTGGACCGATAACCATTTTGAAGGCAAACCTGAACACTTTAATCGCTCGGACTGCATCTGAAACAGATAAAGGTTGGACAGTGCTCGCTTGCAACTTAGTAGTTCAGCGCAGCTTCTGTGCTTATTTGCATTCTACATGGTTGCATTGTTGGGATAATCTGTACTCGTTTAGTGGCCAGCTCAATAATTTCATCAGCTCTATCATGAGTACACGAAACATGTAATCGGCTCGATTCATGTTAATGTATAAAATAAGAACCGTGCATCTAAGTGTGGTGAACTCAGATGACTTGATTTGAGTAACAGAAATAATAAACCCCGTAGTAATAGTAATCATAATCTAAGGGGAATCAGCAAGAAATAGAACCGGAAAAAGAATTTAAAATTTAAGCATCTTAAAAACAAACGATCTTCCAGATACGAAAACTCAGTTTGAAGACCATCAAATAGGCTAACGACTAAGTGGCTAATTTTGACAGAAAACTGGAGCGATTGAAATCAACTTTGGTCAACGTTTTATTCTCCAGTATCAATGATACTCCACTGACTACTGACGAAAGCACACAGTGGTGCCATGAGAGCTTCAACAAAAGGAGGATCTCATCATAAACAAACACAAGGACTCAGGTACTGTGCTGATGGATTGTACTCAATACATAAGGAAAAGGTAAATGATACTCTCTGATACTTCGCTTTGTAAAAGGTGAACAGAAAGACAAAACGGATTACATAGAAATCTAACTGATCAATGTGATGGTGTCTGAGACCGAGCGAACGGAATCCACGCGGTACCGATGGACCGAGGGCTAATCAGACTGGTCTGACCCAGCGCAACGGAGAAACAGCATGTTTTCGAACAGCGCAAAAATGGATTGATCGGCAATACGGCCAGCGGATGGCATACGCCTGAGTTCATGTTAACAACACGCCAGCTGTGGCAAATAGCGAATCGTCGGATCCTCAACTAAGTGGGCGCACGACCAATCAGACGCCATTGTGCAGTCTATTCGGGATGGCAACAGAAATGCTCAGAGTAACTATGCGCTCGGTAAGTGTGGATCGTCCCGTCTGGGGAACGAGCACGAATCAATTGGATGTAGCTAATGCCATAGGCCAGTTAACAAAAGCGATCCGACGAACGAACAACAGCAAAATACTGTAGGTACTTTATAAATAACCGCGAATCTTTCTAATCATCATCAACAGCAGTACATCAGCCATTTGAACTGATGCTTCGCTGCCATACAACCATGAGGACATATGAAATAAAGAATAAGAGGGAGAGAAGGGGGACTTACCTGAAAACCTTAATGCCCTAAGCAAACATTCAGGGTCAAGGCGCCTACACCTTGTGTACACAACATACCGTCACAAACAGCTGGCTATCATGCAAAGATAAGGCGGCATCGGCGAGACAGCTTCCTTGCGGCTTTCACTGCCACGCGTCATAATCAGCCATTACCCCGCATATAACTCAGCACCAAACACACTTTAAACAGACAATTCGATTAGGAGACGGCAGCAGACGCGCCACTGGTGTCGGTTGCGAGCCATGCCCTGTAAAGTCTCGAGCCAAGCACAAGGTGAGTCACGTGGACTCCAACCCGGAAGGCGAGACGGACCAACGGCACCCAGTTTGGTCGTCAGTGACTTCATTTCCCGCTGCCAAGTCAACTTCTGTCCACCTAGAGCCTTGCTGTGCGATCGCCGCCCAGACTTTATTCTTGATTTCCGGAGGGCAACTCGACGAGCAAGGGTTTGAAATCATTAGTGAGCGACGGTTCCATAACCAAGGAGAAGTAGGAACAACTTCGGTCCACAGGTTCCACCATTCACTCTTATGACTTACCCGAAATACCTAAACCAGACAAACCATTGAGGCCCATACTACATATGGGGAATTCGCAGTATCATAACATTGCACAATGGTTGAGAAGAATAATTAATCACCTTAGGGAAATGACTGCTCCTCATCGAATGATATTTGCACATTAGGTAGTCTCTTTCAGTCGAGCCCTGCATGAGTGAACAGAGCGCGATAGGGTAAACGCCCAGTTGACACATGCAACACATGACCATGCCATCTTAATTGGAACAGCAAAGTCAGCTTGTTAAAGGGAAAACTTGCATTCCACAAGACAAGACGTTTGACTTCACCGTGGCAGATACACTGTTGTCACCACACACGAGCAACTCTCCTTAAGCACTTATGGATTTAATCGGTCCTAGAAAACTTAAAACTCCACAAGTGGAATGAAGTTCAGTGATAAACAAGATGTAGAGTGTAGTAAAGCCACTGGGGTCTTTACAACTAATAGTGCGGCCAGTCTAGTGACGCCACATCATTCATAAGAATGAATACACAAGTGAGTATGATACTGTGCCCGAGCGAATTAGGCATATATCAGGGATTGGATAGAAAGGCTTGAGTACGGAATCTATCAGCATCTAAGGAACAAGTTTGATCAGATGAAGACAATTTGCTGGATATCAGACACCAGTAGCAAGGCAGGGGGTAATACTCACCGTCAGGGAAAATAAATTCAAGGTCTGTGGAATTGTTGCATAGGTCGCCGAAACAGCAACAAGCTATGGATTCGTGTGGCGGTTTCGTAAGCATATGACAGGTTCCGGGAGTAAGTGGACAGAGACCCTGCGGTAAGAGATAATGTTGGAGACGTAAAAACCTACACTTCCCCATTGCCAGCAGTCCCGAAGCGCCTTAGATGTATCACCAGATATCGTGGAATGAACAAGTAAACAATGTGTAGTACCGGGTTCACAGTGCTTTACTCCGTCTAAAGGGCAGCCGTGGTCAGAAGATGAGCATATGCAACGCATATCGGGCTAGTCATTTGGCGACAACCCGATTGAAGATTCGTCGGTCCTCGCTGAAATATAAACAGAGAGATAATGGGAGTAAAAAATTGTCACAGAAGTGTGAAGCACAGGCTAATGCGTAAAAGTGTAATAGACAACAACATCATCAATACATGTTAGCTGCGGGTGGGAAGCACACCACGGCAAATGTGCCGCAATACAAAAAGATCAGATACGAAAAAGTACACTACAAGAAAATTCAAAAGCAAGTAGTATGATGTGAAACATTATATTATGCATTTTGTATGGGATGGGAATTGGAGAAAGAATTTAAAGAGGAAAGGGATGGATAAAGGAACTCTCAACACAAACACCACTGGGCCCGGCTCTTTACCATATCAGCAAGTGCGTCTGACCAAACGCGTTCATCGTCCTTCGGACTCCAAGTCGGCAGTCGGGATGCACCAATCGACGCCAGTTTAGAAGTGAGGGTTTTGATTTCTCACGTGTAAGTCATCTCTTCGCCTCCCCTCCTCTTCGATCCAGACGCTGGGCGCGCAAACAACGCACGTCGCGGGAGTCGTGCTGGCATGCGCAATATGTGGCCGAGTCATCGGAGACTGGTGCGTGCGATAGTGGTGCTGAGCGGTTCACTCGCACCTCCTGCAACAAATACACAGCGCCGAACACATCGCTCATGCAGTGCGCTCACCAGACATGAGCTAAGCTGCGAAGACAGCGATGAGCAAACATGACTAGCCTCTTTAGGTCTGTCGACCTGATGGACCAGATTTCACAACTATATAAGAGGGTTGAACGGACGGTTGTATTAGAAACTCTGCCCAACAGAGCGACAGCGATATTACGTCGGCGCCATAGATGGAGGAGATTGACAAAAACACCTGGAGATTTTGCTATACCGTCCGTGACCTCATCTTCGATCCCACGGGCGCCAATATAGCTGCCTTGAACGACTTCTAGCTAGTGAAATGGAAAAATACGTTAAAAAACTCCATCCGTCGAATTATTTGCAAAGACTGGCAGTTTGTAGAACATATCTTGCTGCCAAGAGAAACAGTGGAATAGCTTAATTACAACACCTGTGGATACACAACGTTCTATACATTTAGGTGACATCAAATACATACATATAGGTGTGGACTACGGCATCCGTTTCTGAGTGCATCGTGTAAAAAATAAATCATAACAATTGCTAAAAGAACTGTGGAACAGACAGGAACGAAATTATCGACTAAGGATATAAGAACACAAAAGAGCCTGCAAAAACGTATGCGTCACTTGGATTTGCGCAGGTAGCTAAGAAGACACAGCTTCAACTGTAATAGATCGGAGATGCTAGCTCAAGCAGACACAGAAAGCAAATTCCAAGAAGTCGGGTTTTCCTCATTATCAAAATGGGTATGGAAAACGACCCCATGAACCAACAATCCAGAGAGTGATGACCGATGAATCGAAAACCAAATTTTGAAACGATACGTGACGAACAACTCGAGCGACAGCTTTGGCCGCAGGGGAAAATGAACAAAGATCACGGGGCGCAAATTAAAGATGCTACTAGCAAAAGTCATTTGCCCGTCGATCACGGATAAGTGACTCAAACAGCAGGACTGCCCATCGCACATCACCGTATTGATGTCAATTCGTTTAGTGGCGACGAGTACGCGACCATGTTATCAAGTTCGAAGAAATAAACAAAGGAACGAGTATAATGGCTGAATTCGCTCACGGCACTTCCCTTGCAACTGATGAACTTCGAACACCATAGCCATTATGAGGTGGATAGAAGGGAATCCACACTACTCTTCCTCCAAGTTTGGTTCAAGGACCTGATTGACTAGACGGTCGAGCAGAATACGAGCAATCATCTTACTGACATCGCTCTGCAAGTTGATTCCACGATAATTGTTGGCGCATTGCTTGCGCCCTTTGCTCTCGTATAGCGATAGCACAAGGGCACCATCCAAGTCAGCCGACACTTCCTTTTCAAACCACACGCGTTGCACTAAGTGGTGCTGCACATGCAGTACTGCGGGTCCGTCATTCTTCAGAGTTTCAAGCAGTTTCCCAGAGGTACAAGCAGGCTAGTAGTTTCGCAGCTGAGCAAGTGCGCCCTGCGCTTCATGCAGATCTCCTGGTGTTGGGAACACTTTTTCACATTTTGTTGTAGTATTTTAACGTATCTTAGTCAATCGCTGAATGGTTTTTCAAGAGACAGCCGAAGTACTTTCGCCATATCTGCATATCAGTCGTGTGCAGGGAGCACCCGAGGTAGCATCCACCAGTGTCCACCTCTGCTGAAAACTGAGTGCATACACAGCCTTCAAGAAATCATAGAAGTCCTTATGCTTGCGAAGCTCGGCGTAGCATTACAACTACTCCGCGTTCTCTGACCACTATGCATCCTTGATAAGACAGCTATCGACACAACCGCCGACAAATCTCGTGAAACATACGCATCTTTTCCGAGTTGTCAGCGTCCCCTTAGTTGTAGTGGAAACTGCAATTGTCTCTGACCAATACGCTAATGATCGCGCTGTTGTTATCAAACCAGTCGGGCCCTTTGCAGTTTGCGCACAGCAAATGGTAGTCATTCGTTCAGGTGGTAAAATAGGGAGCTGACTAAATCCATGGAGTCAAAATCACCCAGGCGGGTAGTCATCGCATTCTCTAATTAGCTCCTCTTCTCAGTATTATCTAGAGCAAGAACATTATACCTCAGCAAGATCATGGCAGAATACTGTACACTGAAAATAGAGAGCGATAAGATAAAAAATCTTTGTTGCTCCATCGTAGATGGATCGGGCACATGCGCGGAATCACATCGTTGATTCCTGCGCGGTGGCAGCATATTGCAACTGCACTACATCTTATCCGTGTACGATACGCTCCTTATACCATCATCATCAACGGCAGTACATCCGCCATTTGAACTGATGCTTCGCTGCCATACAACCATGAGGACCTATGAAATAAAGAATAAGAAGAGGGAGAGAAGGGGGACTTACCTGAAAACCTTAATGCCCTAAGCAAACGTTCAGGGTCAAGGCGCCTACACCTTGTGTACACAACATACCGTCACAAACAGCTGGCTATCGTGCAAAGATAAGGCGACTTCGGCGAGACAGCTTCCTTGCGGCTTTCACTGCCACGCGTCATAAGAAGCCTGGACACACTTGCTGATATGGCTAGGAACCGACCTCAGTGGCGTTCGTGCTGTGAGTTTCTTTGTCCCACCCCATCCCTCTTAGCCTCCCCCTCCAACCACGATCTCATTACTTAGCCTTATATAATTTTGCATAATAATTTTTTTTTGGGTGCACAGTAGCCGGCTGGTAGCTTACCGGAAAGATGCCCATCCGTTACCGGTAGCTCAGCCAGCTTTCACCAGTTGTTTTTTTTCTCCTTTTTTCTTTGTATTGCGGCACAGTAGCTGAGGTGTTTCCCACCTCTAGCTAACGTGTATGATGATGATGACAAGCAGCCAATAACTCACAGATAACTCAGCACCAAACACAATTTAAACAGGCAATCCGATTAGGATACGACAGTAGACGCGCCACTGGTATCTACTGCGAGCCATATCCTGCAAAGTCTCGAGCCAAACACAAGGCGAGTCACGAGGACTCCAGCCCGAAAGGCGAGACGGACCAACGGTACCCAGTTTGGTCGGCAGTGACTTGTTTCCCGCTGCCAAGTCAACTTCTGTCAACCTCCAGCCTTGTGTCACCCTACATATGGTAGACTAAACAAGGCCCTCCTAGGTAAGCAGTGACCAGGCATACGTAGCACGTGCCCAAGCCAACGCAACTTATTCAGTGCTATCTGTTGTTCTAGGGAGCTAGCATGTTTATCACCACCTAGTACTCGCCGTCGCACAGCATCGCTGTGGACACGCTGGTGCCATCCGACTCCAGCAAGGCTTCGCAGACAACAATGATCAAAGACATGAAGGCGCCTCAGATCTTCAGACCGAATGGGCCAAGTCTCACTATCATAGAGCAGAACGGCCCTCACTGTGGCCTTGTATACACGGCCTTCCAGACGGAGGGAAATTCCCTTCTTCGCCAAAGATGCTGCAGGTTCAAGAAGGTAGCTCTGGCTTTTGTAATGCGTGAGCTGAAGTCAGTTTCTATGCAAACATCGTTGTTGATGCAGCTGCCAAGTGAATTGAGCAATCACCTCGAGTTCCACGTTAGCAAGCGTTAAGGGGTCATCAAGTGGCTGGTGGTCCTGCAGCATTACCTTGCAGTTTAAAGGTGCGAAGTGCATACCAAATATTGGGACCACTCTGGACAGGCTATTCAGCGTTGATTGTGCCGCCCTAACATGGTCGAAAAGCAAGACGATATCGTCCGCATAATCAAGATCAAGTACCAGGCAGCACATCAACGCCTACATCGTGAGATACCGCAAGGGAACACTCCATGATGGAGTCCACGACGAAGGTGAACGAAAACGGGGAAATCGAACATTTCTGACAGACGCTACTTGCTGTCGGAAAGCAATCTGACAGGTCACTGTAGATCCTTACGCGGCATGTAGTGTTCGAGTATAGAGCACGTAGGATGTTCAACACCTTTCCGAGTAAGTATCCTAATCGGAGTTTCCTGTCTGCCCAAACATTTATGTCTGCCAAACCACCGCATAAACTCTGTTCCTTACCAACATTGTCGTTTGGCGTCTTACTACCCCTGTATCAGTTCAGGTCAGGTATAGCGGACGAAAGAGGCCTTCGCCTAACGAGCGTCCTGTTTCTTGTGCCGGGAAGTGAAGCGCCCCACGGCATCAGCTTCATCACTATACACGTTAGCTGCAGGTGGAAAACACCTCAGCCATTGTGTCGCAATACTAAAAACAAGAAAAAATGCAACAGTGGCACACCGGTTGAGTCCAAAGTAACGGATGGACATCATTTCGGAGAGCTAACAGCCGGCTGTCGTGCCCTAAAAAGTTATATTATGCCTAACGAGTGAGATCGTGATTGAAGGGGATGCTAAGCA